CTATCACAAAAATTATTTTGCTGCTGGTTATTCTGGGACCAGGCTCTGATGTGAGAATTCTCCTTTGTCAAAACATGCCCGAACTGACTTTCACTGCTGGACATCCATGTCTTTGCTCTCAGTGCAAATTTATTCTTAACAAGGTTCCACTGGAGCTTTGTTCTTTGATAAAGGTATTTTAAATATCTTAGGTAGGGTCCTCTATGCAGGGAAAGGAAATTTGAGATGTTTAGTTCTTCCATATTTTCTTGTATTTGTCACAGAAGGTGCCAGAGAGCTGGAAGTTTGGTACCAGGAGCCTGATCCAACCTGAACTCCTAGAAAATTCTGTAACTTCAGTAGGATTTTTTATGGAGGATCCCTGGTTGGAACACTCAGCTGCTTCAGATTAGCCCTTGGCTGGAATGTAAATACTCAGAGAAGTTGCAAGGAAGATGTAAGGGCCACTTCCTTGGAACACCTTTTCCCTCTCTGCTTAAGGATTTCTAAACATACAACACAGTGCCCTAATTGCTTACAAATTATTGGGTTACCACAAATGCTTGCACTGGAGGTGTCAGGAGATGCTGGTGGCTTTTCCTTGTTATGATAACAAAGTGCATGTTCACAGCCACAACCTCTCCATAAAGGGACATAACACTTGGAAAACTCTTACATTTCTAGTTGTGCCAGACACTCTGGGTTTTGCTGCTGTATCACCATGTATCTTAACAGTGTCATTCTCTCAGAAATAGCTTTATACTGCTGATCTCTAACCAGCAAGGTAACCCTGCTCTGCAGCCAGCACTAAGGGGTACAGAAATCCATCAGGATTTCAATCCAGGGCATACCTGGGAAACATGAGCATGATGCAGTGTTCCTTGTGCCTAGCTTGTTCCTTGTACAGCCACACTGAACTCTGTTAAAAAATATTATCCATCATTACCAGCAGCTTTCCTCTGCTCTTCTCATGTGCCCCCTCCATTGCTGTCTGTGTTTATAGCCCCAAAATGCAGCCAAGTGCCAGAATTGTTCCAGAAGTACAATGTGTTCATGCATTGCTTTGGATGAGAGATGGTAGAGTGGTGCCACTATTTTTCCAAGTATTGAGAACTTTTCAGCAAGCTCTGTCTGGTCGCTGTGGTGAGGTCAAAGCATTGGCAAAGACAAACTCAAAGATGTCTTGCACCATTTCTCAATGTCTGTGGTTGGTTGGTTGCCTTTTAAAGTGTCAGCTCTTCCTGCAGAATGGAAACAAGGTTTTGTCTAGGAAACATCCAAATGCCTTTTCTTTTTGGCCCTTGGGAAACCTTTTGAAATCTTCCAGATGAAAAACAGAAAACTCCCCAGGCTTGAGTATGTGTATTTGTTGGCACTTCACAACTGCTGAGGGCTAAAAAGCACAAGGAAGTGCAGGGATCTGTGCTGGTGGGGTGCAATGGTAGATGAAGATGCAGCAGTGTCTTGCTTTCAGCCCTCTCCTACTGCCCTCCAAAAGCAGCTCAATGGCAAATTTGTCTTCCAAGCCACAAATGAGAAAATGCAGTGCTTCATGTTTCCTGTACTTTACAGTAAGTTTACTGTAGTTGATCAGGTTAATTCATCTTGGCCCTGCTTCTTAGAATGCTCCCTGGTATATATTCTCAGAGGAAAAGCCACCTGTTTCTCCAATCTGCTGCAATATCTACATTTCAAAGAGGGGAATCTTGTATAGAGTCCTGCTCCTGTTCTGAATTGCCTCCATGTATTGGGATGACAGTTCTGCCACATCCCAATCAGTCTTTTATAGGTGCAGAAATGAAAAGAAAGTCCCTGGAGTGGCAATTTGGTGAGGGCTCTTCTACCATTAGGGCTGCATTTTAGGGCATTTCTACACTGCTTTTGTCAGCAGTCACACTGAAAGCTCAGCAAGGGAAAATCCCAGGCCAGCTGGACTGAAGGAGCTTTTTGTTCCTGCAGGGCTGAGGGAAGCAGTGGATGAACTGGATCTGGGTTTGAGCTTTAAAGATTTCCCCACATAATAAAAGCTTTCAGGTCTGCTTCACCAATTGCTCCTAATACATCCTGGCTTGGTTCTTTTGAAGGGCAGCAAGAGCAAGTAACTTTGGGTGTCTCTTGGAGCATCTCTAGGATACCTGGGGCTCCTTATCTCCATGAAAGCAGTAGGTTGTCTGCTTAACAACCTGTACATGTGACACGGCAGTCATGTGGCCTGTGGCACTGCTGGGTTCTTTTATGAGCCACAGGAATGAAGAGCTCTGTGCCATGCAGGGCACTGGAGTCCAGTTGGTTGTGTCAGCAGCCTATCTCAAACAAAGCCAGAACAGATGACATTCCAGTGGAAACTCCTTTAGAAGGAAATACTTCAGATTCCAGATGTTTGAGATTTTTCTGCATATTTGTAAAGTTAAAATGTTCCTGTAGGACTTGGTTAGCATAATTATCCATGCAAAGTTTTTGCTTTTAAGCTGTACTCAATTTTTTGTGAATGCTGGTTGCTGTCCACACTGCAGCCTGGAAGTCCTTGCTGGTGACAGGAGAAACTGAATTTGCAATGATTGAGTCTTGCAATGTGCTTGTAGCAGTTTAAATGATTTGTGTACTCCCATTAACCAAGTGACAGAGCCAGTATTTCTCTTCCCCCACCTTCCATTTCAATCATGGCTTATTTCAGGGGAAAACTTGCTTGTTTTGTCCCTGAGAAGGCTGGGGAAAAGGGTTTGTGTTTCTGCTTGCTTAATTGGGAAAAGGGATTTTATGTGGCTGCCTGCACTTGCTGCCCTTATTACACGAATTATTCCTCTATAGATTTGAGAGCAGTGAGTCATAAGACACAGCAGACTTCCCTGGAGAGGCAGATGCAGACAGCCTTATCCAGAGCATCAGCTGTGCCTTTCTTCTCTTTTCACAGACAAAGCAAAGGCCCACGGGGGCATCCTGCCTCTCTGCAAGCACGGAGCTTTGTCTTCTAGGATCAGCTACCTAAAGACATATCTGTTTTTCAATCTGTTTGGATGAGATTTTATTTCTTTCTGCAGTCCCTGCCCATTTCTGCCTTAAAACCATCACTGTTAGCGCACTGCATGACTTAAAACTTTACTGTCCATTTCAGGAGATACTTAATTGTGTCCTTATCCTCTGCCTGTCTAAAGTACCAAATCTCAGCTTCTCCATGTGGTTGCTTTGGTAGGTGCTGTGACTTTGGCCTAGTGGTCTTTCAAGAGGTGCACAGCTCACAGTCTGAGGGCTGGAGAAATTTGAGCAGTATCAGAAGTCAGATATTCTTTCTCTTGGCTTAGCACATTTTCCAGTTCTCCCTGCCCACAGACCCAGAGCATCAGCACAAACATCTCAGTAAATCCCATTCCTTGCACAGCATTTCAAAAGTGCCCTTAATGCCACGGGAAATTGGCTCTGCATGTGTCCAGAAGGGGATGGTTCTGGCTGGATCACACATTCAGCCCCTGGCTTTGCTCATTTGCACCAGCTTCTGCACACATTGATGGGCTTGAAAAGCTCCCCAGTCCCCCAGTGCCCTTCTCCTGTGCTGGGCAGACAGGAGGATCAGGAGAGGCTGTTCCTTTGAGGGGGAGAGCTGGAGTGCAAAATGAGCAGCCCACAGCCCCCGACTGGCAGTACTTCATTCAGGAACACTTCTCTCTCCACAGGGGCTGGTCTGCTCTCTTTATCCACCCCCTGACATGATCCTATATCCAGGCACTTAAGAAAAAGAAAAAAGCAGCAAAACTGAAAGCTGCTATTTTTAAACTCTGCCCTTGGCTCTTTGCAGCACTCTGCTTTCCTCCCTGTGATTCAGTGTTCTTTTGAAAACTAGGCACCAGGGCCCTGTGGTTTCCTGGTACTTGGAACACAAAATCTCCTAATTCTTCTCTCACAGCAAGCTTCAGAGGCCAGGGAGTGATTGATATTTTCTATCGCTTCATTAATAGTCACGGCACAGTAGTTTCCTAATCTGTTTTTGCACTGCTTTTTATTTTGAGTAATTTGTCTTTCAAATTTCCTCAGCCCTCCATGTCACACAAAGCAACTGCTGTTTGCTCCCCTCCTGCCTTTTAACTGCTGGGTTGAGACCTTCAGGAGCTGGGGAGTTGTGGGTCCTTCCTCAAGGAGCTTCCCCGTGTTTGTTTTAATAAGATTGGCAAATAATCCTGAGGGTATGTCCCAGAGTGATCAAAATCCCTGGGAAAGGAGAATTCAGCCCAGTTCCTCAGAGTCTCTGTTCACTCCCATCACTGTGCACAGTGAGAAAGTTTGTGCCATAATCCATTTTCCCAGTTTCATGGCCAACCTTGGATCTCCCCTCCTTCAAACTGAACCTACTTTGGAGTCCTGTGTTTGGCAACCAGCATGGAGAATCTGTAGTGTCTGAACTGTTTTTCTGTACTTCTTACATACCTCCACCAGTCAATTCTAGTCCAAGGAATTCCAAGTTCAAAACCTGGATATTAGACCTACTTCTGTGGTGAATAAGGTGCTCAGGGCACAGGAACTAAACAAATCCCTGGCAGAGAAAGGAAAACCTGGGATATCTCCTGCTGACCATGACCACATCACCACATCTTCAGGGATAAATCTATACTGGATAAAAGCAGAAAATGCAGTGGGACCCATTTGCAAGGGGCTTGGGCATCCACAGAGGAGATGGAGGAAAACAGAATGGGGCCAGTTGTTGTGAGCCAGCTCCTCCCTGCCACACTGCCTTGTAAACACCTGGAAGCTTTACCTGTACACGAGCTGCTGTCCCAGACTGAACAATGCTCTGTGCAGCTGGGGCTCTCTGGCATGACTGCAGTAATCATGAACTCGCTGTAAACTGCTTTTTCATTCAGCCCAACTTGCAAAAAGGCAGACAGGCTGTAGTCTAAACACCCCAAGAGTCTGTATTTGCTTTGTTCCAGCACACTCTGCTCTGCTGTGATTTAAAACAATGTGTCTTTGTGCTTATCTTCTGGGCTTGGCAAGACAGGATTTACCTCTGAGTTTTTGTCTCAACAGGAGAAATTGCTGTCTAACAGATCCTTTGTGGACTTCCGACCAAAACCATCCAGTGCAACATATGGTAAGTCGTTCAATGTTTTATAAACTCAGACCCTCAACTACAGCTGTTTATGGTGAAAACTGGCATATCAATAGTTTCTTTTTGGTTACAAGGGTAATGAATTCTGGCTTATGTTTTTATGACATCTCAGTTTGGGTTTCTCCAGACCTTCCTTTTAGATTATAATGCCTTTGACTTTACATTTGTTCCTTCTGGTGCCTGCCACAGCAGCTTAGCACTGTGGTGTGTCAGCAAAGGAAGAATCTCAGCCACAGTCCCCTTGCTCCAAAACACACAGGCCTTATTACTTCTGTTAAAGGGGAAGGTTTGTGCCCTGATGTGACATGTGGCAACAGCATGTGAGGCTTTGGATGGTCCTGTTACTGCACTGATGTATCCATTCTTAGTCATGTCCTCCTCTGATGCAAGAAAGGGGTGAAACAGTGGATAAATGACTATGGCTTGTGAGGTGGCTTTAAGTTCTCTTGGTCTAGCCATCAGCACTTGAGTGATGCCTGCAGTGGAGAATATTGGGATTTATTGCAGCCTCAGCACGTGGGAGGGATACACTGTGCAGTGGTGGAGAGAAGCTGTGCTGGCAACCTCTGGGCTAGTGCAGAGAGCAGGACTGGGTCTGCTGCACCAGCACATTTCTATCATGCAGCCCTGCAGCTTTCAGCCTGTGATGTTGCTCTGTGGTTGTAGGGCACTTGTATGCCCTAATTCCAGCAGAGAATTAGGAGATGGTCAGAACTCTGCAGTGCTCAGAGTTGGGAAAAGGGGCATATTCTGGCATGGAGTTGCTGTTAACCCATGGCCTTCATGCTTCCTGTTGGATTTACTGCTTTGCACTTGGGATAAACCCCTCCCCCCTAACTGGCAGATTCCTGCATTTCTGAGTTCTGCCTAGTAGCAGAATTGGACTGAGCAAAATACCACAGGAAGGACAATGCTGAAAGAAGTATTTATTAACTCTGTTACCAGATGCAGAATGGTAGGCAGCATATCCAGCCCAGACACATCTAACCAAATTTAACTGAAGGTCATGAATCAGCAGAGGTTTTCTGACTACATGCCCAACAGATGTGCTCTTGCCTGACCGTATTCTATCTCAAATGTACATGTTGCTTTACTGAACTCAGCATTTTTCTCTTCCGGTCACCCCTGTTGAAATTCAGTGAGGTGCTAAGAAGCCAAGAGTTTCAAAGAGAATGAGGAGTTTTTAAAGTTTCAACTTGGGAAAGTTTGAATCTTTTCAGCAAGTATTTTCCACCTGAAATTTTGTGTCTTGCAATATCTGGGGATGGTTCTGCAAGTCACCTTGGACATGCAGCAGTGAAGTCTTTGGTCCAAAGTCTCCTGGAAGTGTGTGGCAGTTTGCCCAAGAACAGGGATGGGCAGTTTCTCTCTCTTTCAATTTCAAAAGCTAGCAAAACCAACATGACAAGTTAAAGAACATGTCACATCCCACTGCTCTCTGTGCATGCTTATCCTTAATGATGTGCTTTTAAGGATCTTGGATAAGAACCAAAAGGAAAGCTTTGAAAACTCGCTCATACAGAATAATTGTATTTAACCTATGCTGTCAGTTCACACCGTATCATCTTCAAGAATAATAAATAAGCAGTCAGCATTCTTACAGTAACCTCTCACTGTTCAGTACCAGGAGGTGAGGGGACATGTGCCTCCCCAGACATCAGGTGGGCCCTGGGGGTGGTGGGAGTGCTTCGTTTGGGTTTTACACTTGACGGTAGCAGTGGGGGGATGAAGTTAAAATGCAATCATTCTGAGTCAAACAGTAAGGCCTAGGAAAACAGATGTGGGATGTGTGCCATGAGCCAAGATCAACTTCACAAAACTCAAAAGATTATTTCTACAAAAACTGGAGGGGGGGTGGAATTATCCAGTCAGGGTTGTGATGGATGGGGGCACGGAAATAGTTCAGGAAAGTCAAACAACAGAACCTGCAGCACAAAAATGTTAACTTCATGGTGTTGTTATTTTGTCATAGGTAGGAAATTCTTTCAATAGGATATGAAGGGTATTAATTAGTATCTTCCTCTGACATAAAATGGGGGAACAGAAGCTTTTATTTCTCTGAACTGCTTCTGCACTATCTCAAGAGCAAAACTGCCTTCCTCTTTAAAATCCTGAGCATATAGGGGTAATCAGAGTACAACACTTTGAGACCACTCAGCTCACCCCAAGTATTACAAACCAGCTGGGCACTAGATTGTATTTTTACCTGTTCTGCTTCTGGCCTGGCTTCTTCACCCAGGTTGTCTCTTATGGTGCTGCTCTGCATCAGCTGTCTCACTGTACTGGGTCTTACAGCTCTGGAAGAGTGGCCATGGAGACAAAGCACTTCCCAGCTCAGCTGTGAGCACAATTCTGGCTGCTGCATCTTGTCCATGGTGAGAGGAGGAGAGATCCCTGTGCATCTCTAAGCCCTATGCTCCTGGGGCTCCAGGCAAGAGGCTCAGAATGAGTTTTGTTTGCTGTCTGGGAGCTCTTACCCTGCAGCCTAGAAATCCTTTGGACTTAACTGCAGGCTGTAAAACAGGCTGGGGAGACACTGGCTTCTAGCTGCTTGTCTCCAGAGGAAACCACTGTTCATACAGTCCTAGCCTCTAGCTCTTAGGATGAAATTCCCCTTCCATGCCAGAAAAGCAGCAGCTCCAGCCTACAGAAAGCTCATTTGCCATGGTTCTGCTGGGGGCTTATTTTCCTCCACAGTAGCACCAGTGTCTGGCTGGAAACCATGGCAGATGAGGCTCTCAGGAAAACCCCTCATCCCTCACCAGAATGCAAGACAAAAGAGCTGCATCTCTAATGGGCAGGCTCATATCTCCCTCTGAGGAGAACCATTACAAAAATATTTCCCAGATATTTGGCTGGGCATTTCACAAAACTATCCAGTTTCATGATGCTAATTTTCCCATTGTCTAGACAGTTGCAAATCCAGACAGCATTATCAGTGTGAACCTACTGCACACACACAGACACACAAAAGCCCATTTTTCTGCCCATGGCTTTTACAGGTATGTTCTTGCTCATGGTGGTCACCTTCTGAATTGCTCCAAAGTGCCTGGACAAATCCCATAGGGATCCCGTTCCTCCTGCAAGGCTGGCTTTTGGTTCAAGCAGCACTGAACTGTGTGGATGCTCTGAAGGTTGAACTGGAAAGGGGACCTAGCGCCTCACTGCCTACCTTTTCCTGCAAGAAAAACAAACTGTGCTCAGGGTTGGACAGTGCTGTGAGCCAGCCTGGACATCCTTCCTTGGGACAATCTGCTGCCACAGTGGTGTTCCAAGGATGAAAGTGTTCTTTTGTGGCTTGCATGCTGGAAATGTTCATGGAAAGATATTCTGGGGCTGTAGGCCCTGCCAGTCTCCTGACAATAAAAAGGTCTGTGGGCATTTGTTCCCTCTGTCTGGCTTGAAATGTTAAGACCTGTGTGGAGGAACAGCACATACTTGCTCTGCACATCAAGGGTGCCAGCCCACACTTGAAGTCAGGCTACAGCACCTTTCCAGACCTTGGCATAATCAGTTCCTGTATTTACAGCTCCTCTGTAATGCCAAGGGGCAAAAACACAGCAGCAGGAGCTGTATTTACAAATAACTTCTGAATGAAGATGCTTAGCCAGCAGCAGCATTTCCTGTTGTTTCTCTTATCTAACTTGCTAAATTCTTCACCTTCTTCCCAGGGTTTCTTTCCATATGTGCATGGTTTTCCTGGCCCATGAAGTGGGGTAGCCCCTGCCTGCTGAGCTGTACTGGGCTCTGACCACGTTTCTGTGGAAGGCCCATGTGAAATATGAAGGGCTTGCCTTGCAGCACCCTTCCAGCTTTTTTGGAAGGTACAGGGACTCACCCTGTGTTTGTGGAATGTGAATCTTGCCAAGCAGCTCTTGACTGTCAGTGTCTGAACAGCAGTGACCTTGGTCTTTCCCTGGTGAGGGCTCCACCCTGCTTGGATCATTTGTTTCCAGGAGCCACTACTGGCTCCTAAAGGTGAACAAAAGGGAAGGAACTAAATATTGTGGAAAGTAACCACAACGTGGTGGTTTTATCTTCTGACTCAGAGGTGTCTGTTACCAGAGCCTGGGAGGTGCAGGCAGAGAGAACCCAGTGGGATCTGAGCAGTGCTGAGATAATGTTCCAGACAGCCAGTCCATGCAGGAGTGGAGGAGGAAGAGGGCAGTTCTAGGTCAAAATCTGTGAGGCTTTGCAGTGAAAGTGTTGGGAAGGGAGGGCTGGAAGAGTTCTTTCTTCCTCCAGGATAGCTGTGGTCTGTTCCCCAGCTGAACTCTCACTCTTTGTCTGCTCTAATCCACATCTTCCCTCTGCCAGCTGGGTTTGTTTTGCAAATTCAAATCTGATCTCCTTCGTTTGTCCTGTGTGTCTTGCTCAGTTTTCACTTTGTCCAAGTTTCCACCATATACAGTTTAGAGCAAAGCATCCTACTTGCCCCTTTGTGACTGAAAAGGGAAAGTTTTGTGGCTCTAATAATAGCAGAAATTTTCTAGTCCAAAATATTTTGCAGAAGGCTGGCTACATCAGCAGCTTTACTACTGCAACTCTCATTGTGACATTTGACTTATTGAAAACTGAAAGATTCAGCCTCATTTAAGTTTTATGTCCACGCAACACACCCAGCTCTAGGGCAGTGACCAGAACAATGTTAGCATGAACAGAGAGGGTGTTTCTGAACCTCTGTTCCAGAGCAAAACCCAAGAACTTGGTTGGATTTTTAGATTTGAAATGCCCTTTCGTATTTTGAGCTGCCTGGAAAATGCAGGTAATTGATCATTCTCCCCCATTCTGAATGAAGTGATGAGAGCAGACATCTACTTAAATTTGGAACAAGTCTGCAGATGAGTCTCTGACAGACTTTACTTGAAACCACACTAACATCACTCTGCACATATCAGGCCCTGGGATTTGTGGGGTTGTCCTGCTCTGCCACAGCCCTCTGGCACACTCTAGAGTAAGTCACTGGCTTCAGAGGAGTGAGA